TTTTTTTTTTAAATCACTGACCTCGAACAACTATCAACCATCTAAAACCAGAAGTCTAGTCAGGACCAGACCAAAACTAGACCCCTCAAGTCTTCATGCAAGAAAAATATTGATACATAATTTCCCCCATACTACTAAAAACATAACTGTTTGTAAATGCTCGCCAAGACAGGAATTGCGCACTTTTAATGCGCACTGTTTAGATGCAATGTTATTCATAACTAACTCACAGAACTAATCAACTAATTCCCTCATTCAAATACAACAATCTGTGAAATAGAAAGTGAAGGCAAATGTCACAGATGACCATGTCACGCAAACCCAGTAGCATCTGTGTGGTGTAAAGTGTTTTAAGAGCTTTGGGATGCTCCGATCCCTGGGAAAAAAACTCACAAAAACAGGAGCTGTCAATCACAGCAGGGGGATGGGTTATTAGGCCCCGCCCCGCCCCGAAAGCACACACGCACACACAGCAGGCTCTGACCCCAGGGTTAAGGTCAGCTCATTGACCCCAAACATCATGTCACATTTAAATACGCTTCCCCCTGAACAGCGTGAGTGGATTGTAGCTGGCCGATGCTCTTTTTCTCACAGACGTCAATGCTCTCTTTTTCCTCTCGACTCGTACTCTGTTTCTGTTTTCCTCTTGTTTCCTCCGGCCCTCCCTTTCTTCGCTCTTAACCTCTCACACTCTGCACTTAGCAGTATAACATGCTGCTATTCAGATAAAAAAGACGTTTGACCCTGATCAAATGACTGAATGTGGTTTTTCTGTTCTCTCTTTCATTTCGCTTGTCCAACAGACTATTAAAGGGTGGAAAAATGAGTGGAAACATGCACTCACTCTCATGTCGTTCCAAACCCTGCATGACTGTCGTTCTATAATGGAGCTCAAATGGAGACATTTGGCAAAAAAAGTCCAAACCGATCATTTCAGTACACAAAAGTCTATTGGCTCATTCTAGGGAACCTTTCATGTCTGTTGATGATAATCATATTGTTTATAACAATCTTCTTAAGAAATATCATATTAAGAGAAAACGTAGCCTACCCCTGTTTTTCCCAGTTTGCTTGAAATTTGCTTTATGTCCCTTAAATTGGTTTTTGCAATGTCTGCTTTTTGAATTGATAAGTCTTTTGAGTTCAAAATAATGAATAAAAAATATTAGTCAACATTATCTAAATTATTCAATTAAATTAGTATGTACATTAAATGTATTTCTACAATCTAAATGACTTAGAAAAATAGACTAATTTTTTATTTCATTTTCTTTCACAAGAAAATATTTTATTTAGCTCATGTCAACTATGTTACTAATTAGACACTTCTAAAAATTTAAAATTGGTTTAAAAAAACAACTAAAACAACAACAACACACACACACATAACAGTAACTGTCCTCTTAATTGTTTCTATATTTGATCTCCAATGACCCGTTGTCAAGGTGTTTATTAATTGCTCGTTGGGTACATTGTTATGGTTTGCAATAATTTTATGATTTTAATCCAAATGAATATTAAAATGTGAAGAATATAGCATTTATAACATATAACAAGTAACATATAACATTTATAACATCAAGAATATAACATTTGGTTGGCCAAAAAAGGCCTACCTTTGAAACTATGAGTCAAAATGGTGAATATCAAAATGGTGTGATTAAACTTGGCAACTAGCAAATATATTACACTGAAACCAATAGCTGTTTTATTGAGAAAACATTTTGTTTTTACTAGTGCTGTTAAACGATTAATCGCGATTAATCGCATCCAAAATAAAAGTTTTTGTTTACATAATATATGTATGTGTGCTGTGTATATTTATTATGTATATATATAAATACACACACATGCATGTATATATTTCAGAAAAATAGGCTATGCTTATATATTAAATATATTTATATACGATATAAACACGCTGACACATCTTCTGAGGTTTAGATCTTCACTAAGGAGGTCTTCTCCATCCTCAGAGGCATGCTAAGTGCACCTATGGTCATCCCTAGAGGGGTTAACCGTGTGTGTGGTAACACATTCCTGGTTGTTTGTTTAGAGTGGCTACAGCCCACTCACTGCTCTTTGACTCTATTACCCTTATAAGGCAGGCGGCGCCATGGCAACCAGAGGGCTTGAATAGCAGTGTCAAATCCCTGAACACACAGACACACGCTTGCTCGCCCTCCACTACTCAGAGAGAGAGAGAGAGACAGAGAACAGAGCGAGGCTTGTTGGCCAGTCACCACAGACGCTCGGGTCAGCTGTCTCTCCTGACAGTTGGATCTCATGATTTACTGATGAATGGAGAAAAGCAGGGCACGGGAAGCAGCGGACGGCTAAAAGAGCTTAAGATCGGTTCCTGGGAATGCTGAGGCCCCGGAGACCATACGGCTGACGAAACAAGGTACAGAAGGACTCTCTCTCTTTCTCTCTTGTATTTGCACAGAGTGTACTGAGACTCAACCAAAAGGTGCTTGCTTCTCTGCTAAGTTGCAGGATTGTGTTGTTTAACCAAGTGAAAGAGCAAGGAACTTTCTTGAACTTTGCTTCTTGAGGAGCAGGCAGGGTGGGGGCTGAGCTCTGTTTATCATTAGGCAGCTCGCTGTCTGCATGTTTGGCATTGTGCTTTTCTGCTGTTTGGAAGCAGCTCTTTATTAGCAGTTTAACCCTAGTGTGACAATTATAAAAAAGATATAAAGGAAAATATTGGATATGTCAGTGATTAGAAACAATATTAGCTGTTTCATGTTAAGGTTTTTTTGTGCAATGTCAGAAAAGAAAAAAAAATCCATTCTTGATATGGATACCAATACAACCACACAATTATAATTACATAACTTCGTATTAACATATATAATAATGTTAATATATGTTAAACATGTATTAACATACTTTATAACAATTTCATTTGGCCTTTTTCTCAGCTTAAGCAGAAAACAGGAAAAACATGGGTATTTGCTTTATAGGCCAAACCTCAAAAAATGGTGCTGTCAGGTGGAAAGTTTTCAACATTTAAAAAAATGTAAAAATAGTAAAAATGTTGACGACGGAATCAAAGAATGCATGATTTTATAGCTAAATGGCACTGGGGTTGAATATTGCTGTTTTAATGGAGACATTTTTATCCTTAAGGTCCTGAGTGTAACTGTTTTTGTACCAAGTGTAAAATAGATTTATAAGGGTGAAATATTCAAATTCCAATAAAAATACCCATTTTTGGAAAATCTTATGCTGTTTGCATGAACAACAACAACACAAATGTGTCTGAGGATACACAAGGGTTAAAGGAAGCAGTTTCTATTGGATTATTTGACGTTTAGATAACCTCAGAAGATCATTTTATTGCTCAGGATTTGTACTTTCATAGCTATGGGGACTCTTTCTACTTAAATTACACAAATGAGACCATAGTTGATATACAATAAAACCATAAAGCATTAAAATAAAATTCTTGGTAGAATTAGATGAGAAAATGTTTGACTTCACAGACTGTGGTATCTTTATTGAGAAACTAGAGAAGACACTTATGAGATTAGAGGGGAGTTCTTCACAGAAGCAAAAATCTTAAACTTAATTTAGTCTCCTTTTAATCTCATTGCTGTCCAGGAGAAACAACCGAGATACTAAGTGATCTCATTTGTGATTTTTCTCACCGAAACATGAACCAGTAAATACGAAACGCACTGGCAGGTTGAGTCAAACCTACCCAAGTGACCTGTAATACCCTCAACGTTTCTAAACACGACCGCATGTTTCTCAGTACCGAAGGAACTGGTTTAACTTGTCGGTTACTAGGGGCCATGTAGAGTAGGTTTTTCTAGTGTTGCGAGCTGAGAAGGAGTTTCATTGCATCCACGTCTCAGAGCTGTGAGAGCTCAGAGCTTGTCTTTTCCCTGAAGTCTGGGTGTGTTTATGTGTAATTTATTGTTTCCTGTGAAAAGGGCGAGGTGAGCTGTCCAACTCTGAACTGCTCAGTGAATCAAAGGGATCTTGAGATCTTCAGAGGGTTTTGTGGTTAGGGGACGCGAAGAAAAGCAACAGGAATTGTGATATGACAAAAACATGTCAGCCCGGTAAGCCTCGGAGGTCTTCAGAGTGCTGTTGAATGTGTTTCTCCTCCGAGTCTGACTTGTTCGGCTTACTGTCTGCAGCTTGAAGGGATTCGCTCTGAATTCTCGACGTGGGAAGGTTTCTCAAGCAGCTCCTGCTGGTGAACACAGAGATGGCCATGGTGAGCGGGGGATGGGCCAACCCCAATGGCGGCGCTAATGGACTCGGTGAGAAAGGTTACCTGCGGGGGGAGGAGGAGAGCAGCTCGCCCCGGGCGGGGAACAGCGACGCAGAAGGTGGCGAGGAGGACAAGGCCTGTGTGGTGGACTGCGTGGTGTGTGGCGACAAATCCAGCGGCAAGCACTATGGTGTGTTCACCTGTGAAGGGTGCAAGAGTTTCTTTAAGAGGAGCATCAGACGGAACCTCAACTACACCTGCAGGTGAGAAACACACATAATATCCATCACTCTGTCTTACTTTGGCTAGCAAACAGGTTTCCCACTTACATTTGAATTTTTTTCATTAAATGCAAAATGTGATTACCACAAACTGCACAATAGTCAGTTTTCTAGCAAGAAACTGAAGGCTCATCGCCAACTATATATAAATAAACAAAAAGATTTGCGACTGCTCAGACTCAACAGCCAATCACACACTGTGTTTCCAGATGCAGCTTGGCAAAGGAATTTGGCTGAACTTTCTGTGAACTCTGTTAACCTCTTACTGACATTTAAATTACAGTGTATGTAAGTGAACATTTATATACTCGTGAATCAGAGCCTGTAATAAGGGAGATTAATAAATCATAGTACTCATGCTATAATAAATGGTTGACGCTGACTTTTTTTCTCAAGGAGCATGTGCTCCTAAGTCAATTTAGGGGCACAATGAAAAAAAGTACATTAGGTTTTTAAATATTTTTTTTCACTCTTTTCACACACACTCCAACCTGAATAAAAAGATTCACAAACCCACTCCAAAGTTCCCATCTAAATTAAATGATTCGCGATCCACGCTGCGTAGTTCCGATCTGAATAATGATTCGCAAACCATCATTTCAGATCGGTACTTCAGAGCGTGGATTGCGAATCATTCAATTAGGGAAATAATTCGCAAAGTCATCAGAATCAGATGATTCGTGATTCACGATCCGATTGGAGTGCTTCGAAACAGTGAATCATTTTGCGACGCAATGGTTTTACCAATTCTGAGTTTCGAAAAGCTCAATTTCACCCATCACTATACAATATAATTCACATTCAAATCGGTTAATTAATTTTAAATAGGTTGACCAATGCAATTCAGTTGGTGACAGTTCAATATGAAATTAGTACGATGGCCGAGAGAGCTCAACGCGCTGCAACTTCAGAAAACACATGAGAATAGAAAAAGCACCAGCAAATTAAGAAAAATCTTCATCAGTTTGACAGCACATGCGCTGCAAATACTCGCAACACAACCAAATACAAAAACACGCTACAAATGCTCACAACACAAGCAAAAACAGAAACGCGCTGCAAATACTCACAACACAAACAAATACAGAAACGCGCTGCAAAAACAGAAACGCGTTGCAAATTCTCACAAACAAATAAAGAAATGCGCTGCAAATACTCACAAACAAATAAAGAAATGCGCTGCAAATACTCACAACACAAACACATAAAGAAACGTGCTGCAAAAGCAGAAACGCGCTGCAAATACTCACAACACAACTAACAGAAACGCACAAGTAGCACAGACCACAACAAAATTACCCCAACAAAACAAAAATTAACCATGTTTTTTTTTCTTGGCGTATTGATTACCATTTGTATAACCACAGTTGTACAAATATCATGTTTAAAACTCTGGTTAGTGTAGTAAATCCATGGTTAATTTGTGCATGGTTACAGTAACCATTTTTTGTTTACATTTTTCTTATATAATAAATGTATTTATTAATGAATTAATTTTAATAGTAGGCTATGGTTAATTTTTGTAAGGTAAGTTGTAAAAGTAAGTAAGCCAGCTTACATAACCTTTCACAGTTACAGTAATTGTGTATTTCGTCAGCTTATTTAGGCTAATAATATCCACAGCTAATGAATATGATCAGGATGTTAAACAAAAATCTCACCTTTCAGAGTAGACATTGATAAGCATGTCCCAGCCATGTTTGTCACTTTGCGGTTCCCTTATATAGGCTTAGATCTCTGCCACAATTCTGCGCGCGAAAGATCATATTTTGAGCGCACAAAAGTGCATTTTGCACGCACGCGATCTTTATATATATATATAAATCAGTCTTCAAGTATTTTACTACACTTCAGTATGTGATTCTTATTAAGTAGGGGTCATTTTTTAGGATTCTATACTTAACCCAAGTCTCTGAGAACCTGAGACCTTGTACTTCTGGAGACTCCAGGTATAGGTTGCAGTTCTGGAAAATGGTGGCGCTGGAGACTAAATGGTTCCTGGTGATTTCACACCTAATTCTTCACCTTAATTCCTAATTCTTTTGCAGTTAACATGCATCTTTTCTTCTCCGCATTTTTTTGACTGACCCTGCTGACCCACTGAGCATTTTGTCCAATGGTTATGCATTAACTTTGCAATTTCTAGCATTGTATTAGTTTTGAATATTTCTCATGGGCATTTAATAATTTTAAATCTTAAATCTCTTTTTTGGTTAATTTTATCTGTAAAGGAAAATCTGCTTAATAATTATGCACACCTGAATATAAGACATTTTTCACTTCCAGCCTTCATGAATAATTATATATCAATTATAAATGATTAAATACAAGATTAATAGTAGTTATTAAGATTGATGTCGTTTGGAATTGGTCAAATGTGCTTGGAAAAAAATATGATCTGAATATCAACTTGCATAATAATTATGCATGCACTGTATTTTTCCTCTTCTGCTGTCGAGGTAATGCAAGAAATGTTGTGAATGGTTGTCAAGGCAGCCAATCAGAATTTAGCAGCCTCGTCTCTGATTGGCTGGAATTGTGGCATAGTGTAACGCTGGGCTGAGCGCACTGAGGGCCGGGCATCAGGTGAGCAAGCTGGTGAAACATTGCACACGCAGAAGAGAAGGTCTGCACACATCCAAAAACTTATTTTAAATGCAAAATTGATTTCGTGCGCTCGAAATACTTTCTTCTTTGCAAGACATTTTCTCCACAAAACTCAGTTCGCGCGCGTGCAAAACCGCACTACTGCGCACTTAAAATATATTTCACGCGCAGAATTGTGGCAGAGATGTAATCCCATACTCTTAAACATTTCCACTGTGGTCTGTGCCTATTTGCAGCGCTTCTTTATTTGGTTGTGTTGTGAGCATTTGCAGCGTGTGTGTTGTCAAATTGATAAATATGTTTTTTAAATTTGCAAGTGTTTTTTCTATTTGCATGTGCTTTTTTCATTTGCAGCGCGTTGAGCTCTCTTGGTCACCGTAAATTAGACTCTTATTTTGAAATGCTTTACCATTGCATAAAGTTCTAAACCATTCTCTACAACATATTACAATATAAACATAATGAAGTGAATACTGTCATAATTTAATCGACAGCAGGTCATATGCAATCGCCTGGCATAAATGCGAGTTATTTATTGACTGCGAGCTGCTATGAAACCGCGAACCTGTAGAATGCGTGACAGCTCCGCGTTTTGACTTTGAAACGCATATTTAATCATTGAAATCATAGCCTTTTTTGAAGATATAAAAAAAACAATAGTCTGTTTCGCAGTTCATGTTTTTTATTTTATTTTATGGAATTATTATATATATTTTTTGTCGCCAAATTTGAGACTTTTTTTTTTTTTTTGGCACACATGCTCCTAAAGACATTTTGCACACATGCAAATGGGGCACTGTCGAGCCCTGCTATAATGCTAATCAGTCAACATTACTACTAATGTTAAGATTTAGGCCTTTTTTGCAAGTAAAGAGGAAATTCTTTCACATTGCATCAAAACATTTTTAGTTGAAAACACAGTTGTCCAAATACAACTTGACAAACGACTAGCAGTACAAGCTCTCCCCAAGCTGTTTAGAAGTACTCATACTGACAACAACGGAAGCAACCTTCAGTATGTCATTTTCTACAAAAATTGAGACAACTTGGAGTAACAGGTCGGCGATGTGACAAGTTGAGCAGAGTTCAAATGCATGTCGCCTAAATAAACAGCAGCAAGATACATCACAATATACAGAAGCTGAAAGTCTACAGAACAGTGACTTGGTGACCACCAGCAAATTAATCAATTAATCAGTTCACTGATTAATCACTGTGACCTCATGGGTCATGGTTTGGATGTGTACCGTGGGCATCTGGTCATCATATTATGTCAAAACCTTTTCTTTGTTAAGCATAGCCATATTTGATTAAGTTAGTCAGGTTTAATGATGGCTTGACTTATTTATAAGATTTTCTGGGAGCAAACAGAATTACAAAAATATCCGCAGTGTGCCATAATAGCAACGTGCTCCGTTTTCATTTCCCGATCCAAAAGAATACCCGGCTGAATGTGTACAGGGCTGTCGAAACACAATTGTGCATGTTCTGTGTATAATTGGACTCTTACAGCAGATGTAACATTAGCCTTGCTGAATGAGTGAACAGAATTGTGTCCTTTGTGTTTGTGCCAAGGTTACGTGACTCGTGAGTGATAATTTACCTGAGAATCACTGGAGAGCTCTTCACACATCACAGCTCAGAAAGGACGGAGATTAATTCACATTCAGCTTTATTTGTTGTATTTAACGCTCAACTGAAATAGTTATATTAGTGTTATTGAGTTTGAATTTGTGTCTTTTCAACACAAAAGACTTAAAGCACACAGGTTTCACTTTTGTTCACATAATTAGTTCTATTTTTATTCATCAACATTCAATGAAGTTAAGTCACGTTTGCCTTTTTATATTTTTTTCTTGTCAGTTTGCATTTGTACTCATTTTAGGGATTGTGTCAATTTATTGGGAGACACTCAATACAATTAATTTATTCATATATAGGGGTAATTGTGTCTTTAATTACTTTGAATCTGGTATGCAAACACTCGTTTTTGGTGCTGTAATGTCAAATCTCGATGTAACACAGTCTTCCCAAGATCTGCCTTTATTCTGCACAGATAACACTAGAATTAATGACTTAAATTGTCAGTATCTATGCTGAGATTATAATATAACATCCAGGAAAGATATGATCATGACGTTATTGGAAGATTCTATCTTTTTTAATTATGCAATCTGTAGTGATGTTCACACCCGGCACACACCTTCCACTGATCACCCATTCTCTTTTAAAGGTGCCAAATCTTAAATCATCTCATGTATTCTCTTGGCTCAATGGTGTCTAAACTGTCTTCACAGGTCAAACAGAGAGTGTCAGATTGATCAGCACCACCGTAACCAGTGTCAGTACTGCCGTCTGAAGAAGTGTTTCCGGGTCGGTATGAGGAAAGAAGGTCAGCAAACCAGTGAGATATATATATATATATATATATATATATTTGTAATAAAAATGTTACTATATACAGTACATGAGTCTTTCTAGTCATTTCACATCAGAAAAGTGTAAAACAATGTGCTTTTTCAGTAAAACAACTACTGGTTAGAGAATTCCCCCCCCCCACAATTTCTTCTGGGGGGAGAAATTATAGAAATGATTACTTTTATTAGCAAGGATGCTTTAAATTGAACAAAAGTAAATTGATGATAAAGACATTTAAAATGTTACAAAAGATTTCTATTTCAGATAAATGCTGTTCTTTTGAACTTTCTATACATCAAAGAAACCTGAAAAAATTCTACTCAGCTGTTTTCAACAACAACAGTAATAATAATAATAGTTTTTTAATCAGAAAATCAGAATATTAGAATGATTTCTGAAAGATCACGTGACTGGAGTAATGAAGGCTTTGAAATCACAGGAATAAATTTAATTTTTAAATACCGGTATATTCAAATAGTGAAAAACGTTTTTCCAAATGTTACTCTTTTTGCTGTACTTTGGATCAAATAAATGCAAGCTTGGTGAGCAGAAGAGACTTACTGTTACTCTTAAAAATCTTACTGTTTAAAAACTTTTGACTGGTAGTGTATAATGAGCCATATACTGTAAATATTTACAGTCTATATTTATATTTCCGATGTTGTCCCAAACAAACAATTTCCCACATAACTTTATAGCTAGTTTCATGTTACTTGTGTCATTCAGAAGGGGTTTTTCGGTTTGTATCATTATATTGAGGTTTCCTTTCTCTCTCTTGGTTTTTTCTTGTATTTTCCAGCAGTTCAGCGTGGTCGAATCCCTCCCTCTCATGCAGGCATCAGTCCAGCCTCCATGGTTGGTGTGGGTGGTGATGTTGGAGGAGGTCAAGGCATGGGTGCTGAATTCTTCAATGGTCAGCCGGTGTCTGAACTCATCTCTCAGCTGCTGAGAGCAGAGCCGTACCCCAACAGCCGCTACGGAGCCCAGTGCGGCCAGCAGCTCGCAGGAGGCAACAGCTCCGTCATGGGCATCGACAATATATGTGAGTTGGCGGCCCGGCTGCTCTTCAGTACCATCGAATGGGTGCGGAATATTCCCTACTTTCCTGACCTGCCCGTGTCGGAGCAGGTGGCCCTTCTGAGGCTCAGCTGGAGTGAACTGTTCATCTTGAATGCAGCTCAGTCGGCTCTGCCGCTGCATACGGCCCCTCTGCTGGCAGCTGCTGGTTTTCATTCCTCCCCCATGCCCGCTGACCGCGTCGTGTCCTTCATGGACCAGGTGCGGGTCTTCCAGGATCAGGTGGACAAGCTGACACGACTGCAGGTGGATTCGGCCGAATACAGTTGTCTGAAAGCCATCGCTCTGTTCTCACCAGGTGAGAGTTAAATATAGGGTACAACGGGGCAAAAGGCGCCTTTGATATTATTTTCCTCTACACCACTAGATGGCACAAAAACGTAGCTTAGCACTTTCCAAAACATTCGCTTTTCAAGATGCACGTGCATATTTGTCTGATCCTTGATCGTGCACAGCAGCGCAAAGTTGATTCTGTGCTTACTTGATCTAATATTTTATGTTTTTAAATTAATCAATTAATCAGTTCACTGATTAATCACTGTGACCTCATGGGTCATGGTTTGGATGTGTACCGTGGGCATCTGGTCATCATATTATGTCAAAACCTTTTCTTTGTTAAGCATAGCCATATTTGATTAAGTTAGTCAGGTTTAATGATGGCTTGACTTATTTATAAGATTTTCTGGGAGCAAACAGAATTACAAAAATATCCGCAGTGTGCCATAATAGCAACGTGCTCCGTTTTCATTTCCCGATCCAAAAGAATACCCGGCTGAATGTGTACAGGGCTGTCGAAACACAATTGTGCATGTTCTGTGTATAATTGGACTCTTACAGCAGATGTAACATTAGCCTTGCTGAATGAGTGAACAGAATTGTGTCCTTTGTGTTTGTGCCAAGGTTACGTGACTCGTGAGTGATAATTTACCTGAGAATCACTGGAGAGCTCTTCACACATCACAGCTCAGAAAGGACGGAGATTAATTCACATTCAGCTTTATTTGTTGTATTTAACGCTCAACTGAAATAGTTATATTAGTGTTATTGAGTTTGAATTTGTGTCTTTTCAACACAAAAGACTTAAAGCACACAGGTTTCACTTTTGTTCACATAATTAGTTCTATTTTTATTCATCAACATTCAATGAAGTTAAGTCACGTTTGCCTTTTTATATTTTTTTCTTGTCAGTTTGCATTTGTACTCATTTTAGGGATTGTGTCAATTTATTGGGAGACACTCAATACAATTAATTTATTCATATATAGGGGTAATTGTGTCTTTAATTACTTTGAATCTGGTATGCAAACACTCGTTTTTGGTGCTGTAATGTCAAATCTCGATGTAACACAGTCTTCCCAAGATCTGCCTTTATTCTGCACAGATAACACTAGAATTAATGACTTAAATTGTCAGTATCTATGCTGAGATTATAATATAACATCCAGGAAAGATATGATCATGACGTTATTGGAAGATTCTATCTTTTTTAATTATGCAATCTGTAGTGATGTTCACACCCGGCACACACCTTCCACTGATCACCCATTCTCTTTTAAAGGTGCCAAATCTTAAATCATCTCATGTATTCTCTTGGCTCAATGGTGTCTAAACTGTCTTCACAGGTCAAACAGAGAGTGTCAGATTGATCAGCACCACCGTAACCAGTGTCAGTACTGCCGTCTGAAGAAGTGTTTCCGGGTCGGTATGAGGAAAGAAGGTCAGCAAACCAGTGAGATATATATATATATATTTGTAATAAAAATGTTACTATATACAGTACATGAGTCTTTCTAGTCATTTCACATCAGAAAAGTGTAAAACAATGTGCTTTTTCAGTAAAACAACTACTGGTTAGAGAATTCCCCCCCCCCCACAATTTCTTCTGGGGGGAGAAATTATAGAAATGATTACTTTTATTAGCAAGGATGCTTTAAATTGAACAAAAGTAAATTGATGATAAAGACATTTAAAATGTTACAAAAGATTTCTATTTCAGATAAATGCTGTTCTTTTGAACTTTCTATACATCAAAGAAACCTGAAAAAATTCTACTCAGCTGTTTTCAACAACAACAGTAATAATAATAATAGTTTTTTAATCAGAAAATCAGAATATTAGAATGATTTCTGAAAGATCACGTGACTGGAGTAATGAAGGCTTTGAAATCACAGGAATAAATTTAATTTTTAAATACCGGTATATTCAAATAGTGAAAAACGTTTTTCCAAATGTTACTCTTTTTGCTGTACTTTGGATCAAATAAATGCAAGCTTGGTGAGCAGAAGAGACTTACTGTTACTCTTAAAAATCTTACTGTTTAAAAACTTTTGACTGGTAGTGTATAATGAGCCATATACTGTAAATATTTACAGTCTATATTTATATTTCCGATGTTGTCCCAAACAAACAATTTCCCACATAACTTTATAGCTAGTTTCATGTTACTTGTGTCATTCAGAAGGGGTTTTTCGGTTTGTATCATTATATTGAGGTTTCCTTTCTCTCTCTTGGTTTTTTCTTGTATTTTCCAGCAGTTCAGCGTGGTCGAATCCCTCCCTCTCATGCAGGCATCAGTCCAGCCTCCATGGTTGGTGTGGGTGGTGATGTTGGAGGAGGTCAAGGCATGGGTGCTGAATTCTTCAATGGTCAGCCGGTGTCTGAACTCATCTCTCAGCTGCTGAGAGCAGAGCCGTACCCCAACAGCCGCTACGGAGCCCAGTGCGGCCAGCAGCTCGCAGGAGGCAACAGCTCCGTCATGGGCATCGACAATATATGTGAGTTGGCGGCCCGGCTGCTCTTCAGTACCATCGAATGGGTGCGGAATATTCCCTACTTTCCTGACCTGCCCGTGTCGGAGCAGGTGGCCCTTCTGAGGCTCAGCTGGAGTGAACTGTTCATCTTGAATGCAGCTCAGTCGGCTCTGCCGCTGCATACGGCCCCTCTGCTGGCAGCTGCTGGTTTTCATTCCTCCCCCATGCCCGCTGACCGCGTCGTGTCCTTCATGGACCAGGTGCGGGTCTTCCAGGATCAGGTGGACAAGCTGACACGACTGCAGGTGGATTCGGCCGAATACAGTTGTCTGAAAGCCATCGCTCTGTTCTCACCAGGTGAGAGTTAAATATAGGGTACAACGAGGCAAAAGGCGCCTTTGATATTATTTTCCTCTACACCACTAGATGGCACAAAAACGTAGCTTAGCACTTTCCAAAACATTCGCTTTTCAAGATGCACGTGCATATTTGTCTGATCCTTGATCGCGCACAGCAGCGCAAAGTTGATTCTGTGCTTACTTGATCTAATATTTTATGTTTTTTTAAAATGTTTTAGATTTAAGTAGCAAATGAGAAATGAGCTAAACTTAATGCATATATTTTGAGACAAAGGTCATCTTAAAGATTTTCAGTTTTGTTTTTAAATAACGAAAGAATATGTAAAAGTATGGTTTTTGGGGTCAAAAGTGCCCCTGCTGTTTAGGGCACAGTAATTAACATGATAATTAATAGAAGGCTGACTTTTCTATTTGTTGACATCACATCACATGGTTAGATTCAGATGTTAAATATCATATATTATGTTGGGTGTCCATATTAGAGATAATCACCATGTTTAGAATGGAACCATCATATTTAAAAACATGATATTAATCATATCACATAAAATATCATTTGTTGTTACTCCTGTAAATCTATTTTAAATTATTATGGGATCTCCTTCAATACTTTCAGAATCTTTACATCTTAAAATGATATTGTTTCTGTATTTTAAAATTATATATTATATTTTTTATATTAACATAGTTTATTGACAGTATATTTATTGAACAAACATTAATTATTTTATTTTTCAAATAAGCAGAAAATAGTACAAACATTGCTAAAGTGATTGTTTTGAACATGTTTTAACTTAGACATTATTAAAAAACATTATTTTAGCTGAAGTAATTGTATCAATACTGTGTGCCTTTTACCCTGTGTGTGGGATAAAAGGCCCCCCTTGACATCTTATACATTTATAAGATTTTTAAACAAAATGAACGACTTGCATGATTTATTTTCACACAAAATCTTGCTCCATTAATGTTCAATACAAATGTATTCTCCACAAAGGTGTAGCAAAATGCTAAAATCTTTGAGAGCATATTATTAAAGGCATAAAAACATGCTAAAACCACTCAGAATATGTTAGTAAAAGCATAGCCAAATGATAAACCTCTCAGAATATTTGTAAAGGCAAAGCAAAATGTTAAAACCTCTCATAACATTATTAAACGCATACCATGCTAAAGCCACTCAGAACACATTAATAAAGGCATAGCAATGTTAAAACCTCTCAGAACACATTAGTAAACATATAACAACATGATAAAAGCACTTAGACGTAAAACACAATAAAGGCATAACAACATGCTAAAACCACTCAGAACATGTTAGCAGTCATAACAACATTCATATCCTCTCAGAGCACATTAGCAATGGCATAGCAACATGCTAAAACCACTCTGAACACATTAGCAAAGGCATAGCAACATGCTAAAACCTCTGAGAACACGTTATTAAACACATAGCAAAATGCTAGAACCTCTCTAAACATTATTAAACACATAGCAACATGTAAAACCACTCAAAACATGTTGGTGAAAACATCTATACATATCTATGGGTGAAAGCATAGCAACATGCTAAAACCACTCAGAACATGTAAGTAAAAGCAAAGCAAAATGATAAAATCTCTTGAGAACATGTTACTAAAGGCATAACAAAAAGGCTAAAACCACTCGGAACATGTTAGTAAAGGCAAAGCAAAATGCTGAAACCTCTCATATTATTAAACACACACCATGCTAAAACCACTGAGAACACGTTAGTAAAGGCATCGCAAAATGCTAAACCTCCCAGAACACGTTAGTAAAGGCATAAACACAATTGTGCATGTTCTGTGTATAATTGGACTCTTACAGCAGATGTAACATTAGCCTTGCTGAATGAGTGAACAGAATTGTGTCCTTTGTGTTTGTGCCAAGGTTACGTGACTCGTGAGTGATAATTTACCTGAGAATCACTGGAGAGCTCTTCACACATCACAGCTCAGAAAGGACGGAGATTAATTCACATTCAGCTTTATTTGTTGTATTTAACGCTCAACTGAAATAGTTATATTAGTGTTATTGAGTTTGAATTTGTGTCTTTTCAACACAAAAGACTTAAAGCACACAGGTTTCACTTTTGTTCACATAATTAGTTCTATTTTTATTCATCAACATTCAATGAAGTTAAGTCACGTTTGCCTTTTTATATTTTTTTCTTGTCAGTTTGCATTTGTACTCATTTTAGGGATTGTGTCAATTTATTGGGAGACACTCAATACAATTAATTTATTCATATATAGGGGTAATTGTGTCTTTAATTACTTTGAATCTGGTATGCAAACACTCGTTTTTGGTGCTGTAATGTCAAATCTCGATGTAACACAGTCTTCCCAAGATCTGCCTTTATTCTGCACAGATAACACTAGAATTAATGACTTAAATTGTCAGTATCTATGCTGAGATTATAATATAACATCCAGGAAAGATATGATCATGACGTTATTGGAAGATTCTATCTTTTTTAATTATGCAATCTGTAGTGATGTTCACACCCGGCACACACCTTCCACTGATCACCCATTCTCTTTTAAAGGTGCCAAATCTTAAATCATCTCATGTATTCTCTTGGCTCAATGGTGTCTAAACTGTCTTCACAGGTCAAACAGAGAGTGTCAGATTGATCAGCACCACCGTAACCAGTGTCAGTACTGCCGTCTGAAGAAGTGTTTCCGGGTCGGTATGAGGAAAGAAGGTCAGCAAACCAGTGAGATATATATATATATATTTGTAATAAAAATGTTACTATATACAGTACATGAGTCTTTCTAGTCATTTCACATCAGAAAAGTGTAAAACAATGTGCTTTTTCAGTAAAACAACTACTGGTTAGAGAATTCCCCCCCCCCCACAATTTCTTCTGGGGGGAGAAATTATAGAAATGATTACTTTTATTAGCAAGGATGCTTTAAATTGAACAAAAGTAAATTGATGATAAAGACATTTAAAATGTTACAAAAGATTTCTATTTCAGATAAATGCTGTTCTTTTGAACTTTCTATACATCAAAGAAACCTGAAAAAATTCTACTCAGCTGTTTTCAACAACAACAGTAATAATAATAATAGTTTTTTAATCAGAAAATCAGAATATTAGAATGATTTCTGAAAGATCACGTGACTGGAGTAATGAAGGCTTTGAAATCACAGGAATAAATTTAATTTTTAAATACCGGTATATTCAAATAGTGAAAAACGTTTTTCCAAATGTTACTCTTTTTGCTGTACTTTGGATCAAATAAATGCAAGCTTGGTGAGCAGAAGAGACTTACTGTTACTCTTAAAAATCTTACTGTTTAAAAACTTTTGACTGGTAGTGTATAATGAGCCATATACTGTAAATATTTACAGTCTATATTTATATTTCCGATGTTGTCCCAAACAAACAATTTCCCACATAACTTTATAGCTAGTTTCATGTTACTTGTGTCATTCAGAAGGGGTTTTTCGGTTTGTATCATTATATTGAGGTTTCCTTTCTCTCTCTTGGTTTTTTCTTGTATTTTCCAGCAGTTCAGCGTGGTCGAATCCCTCCCTCTCATGCAGGCATCAGTCCAGCCTCCATGGTTGGTGTGGGTGGTGATGTTGGAGGAGGTCAAGGCATGGGTGCTGAATTCTTCAATGGTCAGCCGGTGTCTGAACTCATCTCTCAGCTGCTGAGAGCAGAGCCGTACCCCAACAGCCGCTACGGAGCCCAGTGCGGCCAGCAGCTCGCAGGAGGCAACAGCTCCGTCATGGGCATCGACAATATATGTGAGTTGGCGGCCCGGCTGCTCTTCAGTACCATCGAATGGGTGCGGAATATTCCCTACTTTCCTGACCTGCCCGTGTCGGAGCAGGTGGCCCTTCTGAGGCTCAGCTGGAGTGAACTGTTCATCTTGAATGCAGCTCAGTCGGCTCTGCCGCTGCATACGGCCCCTCTGCTGGCAGCTGCTGGTTTTCATTCCTCCCCCATGCCCGCTGACCGCGTCGTGTCCTTCATGGACCAGGTGCGGGTCTTCCAGGATCAGGTGGACAAGCTGACACGACTGCAGGTGGATTCGGCCGAATACAGTTGTCTGAAAGCCATCGCTCTGTTCTCACCAGGTGAGAGTTAAATATAGGGTACAACGAGGCAAAAGGCGCCTTTGATATTATTTTCCTCTACACCACTAGATGGCACAAAAACGTAGCTTAGCACTTTCCAAAACATCTGCTTTTCAAGATGCATGTGTATATTTGTCTGATCCTTGACGCTATGGTGCACAGCAGCGCAAAGTTGATTCTGTGCTTACTTGATCTAATATTTTATGTTTTTAAAAATGTTTTAGATTTAAGTAGCAAATGAGAATGAGCTAAACTTAATGCATATATTTTGAGACAAAGGTCATCTTAAAGATTTTCAGTTTTGTTTTTAAATAACGAAAGAATATGTAAAAGTATGGTTTTTGGGGTCAAAAGTGCCCCTGCTGTTTAGGGCACAGTAATTAACATGATAATTAATAGAAGGCTGACTTTTCTATTTGTTGACATCACATCACATGGTTAGATTCAGATGTTAAATATCATATATTATGTTGGGTGTCCATATTAGAGATAATCACCATGTTTAGAATGGAACCATCATATTTAAAAACATGATATTAATCATATCACATAAAATATCATTTGTTGTTACTCCTGTAAATCTATTTTAAATTATTATGGGATCTCCTTCAATACTTTCAGAATCTTTACATCTTAAAATGATATTGTTTCTGTATTTTAAAATTATATATTATATTTTTTATATTAACATAGTTTATTGACAGTATATTTATTGAACAAACATTAATTATTTTATTTTTCAAATAAGCAGAAAATAGTACAAACATTGCTAAAGTGATTGTTTTGAACATGTTTTAACTTAGACATTATTAAAAAACATTATTTTAGCTGAAGTAATTGTATCAATACTGTGTGCCTTTTACCCTGAGTGTGGGATAAAAGGCCCCCCTTGACATCTTATACATTTATAAGATTTTTAAACAAAATGAACGACTTGCATGATTTATTTTCACACAAAATCTTGCTCCATTAATGTTCAATACAAATGTATTCTCCACAAAGGTGTAGCAAAATGCTAAAATCTTTGAGAGCATATTATTAAAGGCATAAAAACATGCTAAAACCACTCAGAATATGTTAGTAAAAGCATAGCCAAATGATAAACCTCTCAGAATATTTGTAAAGGCAAAGCAAAATGTTAAAACCTCTCATAACATTATTAAACGCATACCATGCTAAAGCCACTCAGAACACATTAATAAAGGCATAGCAATGTTAAAACCTCTCAGAACACATTAGTAAACATATAACAACATGATAAAAGCACTTAGACGTAAAACACAATAAAGGCATAACAACATGCTAAAACCACTCAGAACATGTTAGCAGTCATAACAACATTCATATCCTCTCAGAGCACATTAGCAATGGCATAGCAACATGCTAAAACCACTCTGAACACATTAGCAAAGGCATAGCAACATGCTAAAACCTCTGAGAACACGTTATTAAACACATAGCAAAATGCTAGAACCTCTCTAAACATTATTAAACACATAGCAACATGTAAAACCACTCAAAACATGTTGGTGAAAACATCTATACATATCTATGGGTGAAAGCATAGCAACATGCTAAAACCACTCAGAACATGTAAGTAAAAGCAAAGCAAAATGATAAAATCTCTTGAGAACATGTTACTAAAGGCATAACAAAAAGGCTAAAACCACTCGGAACATGTTAGTAAAGGCAAAGCAAAATGCTGAAACCTCTCATATTATTAAACACACACCATGCTAAAACCACTGAGAACACGTTAGTAAAGGCATCGCAAAATGCTAAACCTCCCAGAACACGTTAGTAAAGGTATTGCAACATGCTAAACCTCCCAGAACACGTTAGTAAAGGTATTGCAACATGCTAAACCTCCCAGAACACGTTAGTAAAGGCAAATCAAAATGCTAATAACTCCCATAACACATTATTAAACACATAGCAGTAGTATCATGCTAAAACCATTCAGAACTCATTAGTAAATGCATAGCAATGTTAAAACCACTCAAAACACTTTAGTAAAGGCATAGCAACATGTTAAACCTCCCAGAACACGTTAGTAAAGGCATTGCAACATGCTAAACCTCCCAGAACACGTTAGTAAAGGCATAGCAACATGCTAAACCTCCCAGAACACGTTAGTAAAGGCATAGCAACATGCTAAACCTCCCAGAACACGTTAGTAAAGGCATAGCAATGAGCTAAATCCAGAATGATTAGTTGCAGTGGGTTTTGTACAGCCACTCTTTTTAAAATGTAAAACTCTAGTTAGTTGGAAAATTAGTCTGACCATGTTTTTTTTTTGTGTGGCATTTTTGCCTTTAATTTGACAGGACAGTGTAGAGAGGACAGGAAGCGAAGTGGAAGAGAGAAAATAACATTGCCAAATATCCATCGCATTTGCCGTTTGGATTTCACTTGCAGCTGGGTTGTAAACTCTTTGTCCTGTTTCCTGCAGACGCGTGTGGGCTGTCAGATCCGGCGCACATCGAGAGCCTGCAGGAGAAAGCACAGGTGGCCCTGACCGAGTACGAGCGTATGCAGTATCCAGGTCACCCACAGCGCTTCGGCCGACTCCTGCTGCGACTGCCCGCCCTGAGAGCCGTTCCCGCCAACCTCATCTCTCAACTCTTCTTCATGCGGCTGGTTGGCAAGACGCCCATTGAGACGCTTATCCGGGACATGCAGCTTTCTGGAAGCTCCATCAGCTGGCCATACGTGCCTGGACAGTAGATGAACAATCAAGAGACTTGTTCCCGTGTCCCATCTCAGGCTGCTCCCATGATTCCACAGTAACCGTGTGGGTAGATGTTGTGTTTCGGGTTTTGTTGATTGTGTATATACTGTATGTCTAAAAGAGGTTCACGCGTATGTTGCTATGCAGTTTCAATGAGCCATCCAGCACCAAGATACCTCATGTTTCACATCATGAGCATCAACAAATTCTGTCGAGAACATTTGATGAGAAACAGAGGACTGATTATGAAGAAGTTAGCTGATATGTGACAGATCCAAAGCTTTAAAGAAGAGTGTACAATACCTTCTTTTTCAGAGCATAGTGAACTATTTTAAAGCTAGTGTAGACGTACGGTAAGAATCTTTGTAACAGACTGCATTTGTGAGAAAAATGTTGGGTTATATACTTGAAAAATCAATGGTGAACAATGAATGGCTATGTTTAGAATGGAATACTTGCATACTGCACACTACTGCTTTATATTGAATAGTATGTGAAACAGTATGAAATATGCAATATTACATACCCCAAACCGTACTATGCTACATTTTGATCTCATTATATTACACGTTTATCATGTAAATATGGTACACTGCATTATGGGATACAGTATTCTGTGCAGTGTGCTTTGGTTGTGTTCGGAGTACTTCCAGTTATTACACACTATGCACGGTATACATACTATATACCAAAAACATTAAGAGTAGTATGGTAGTGTGCTATTCTGAACATAGACCATGCCTTCGATTGTCCTATTTAAACAGTTCTGGTGAATTTTTCAATGGTGTGGAGAAATGGTATAAACTTTTACATTGCCGACTGTGGGGAAATATCAAGTATTTTTGCATACTAAAAATAAAAATGAGTGATAAACAAACAAGCAAGTTATTATGTAAGAAGATTGTTAATGAAAAAAAAACACACATTTTCAGCAGTGTTAGTCAAATATATAACCTGCAAACAAGAAAAAAGGATATTTGTTCCAACTTTTTTCGTCTGAAGTTTATGACTTGTATTTCGAAGATTAATAAAAATGGCATCTGTCTAATAAAAAAGGCATCTGTGCATTTGTTACTAATCAATATTGGGTACAAATCCTTTGTTTAATAATATATTATCTACACTGTACTACACTGATTTGGCATACAAATGTTTTTCAAATATGAATCATTAAAAAGAAACCTGCTTTTTAATGTGATGATAAAAAAGACTATACACAAAAAGACTAAACATTTTAGCCTTTACATTAAATAATATCTCCATTATAATTACAGGATGACTACACTACCTTAAATGTCTTACTTTCAATCAATCAATCGATCAATCAATATGAATTCAGAAATGTAAATGATTATATCACTTCATGATTTTACCACCCACCTACAAAATCATTCTGCATGCTGTGCACTGGGAAAAAAAGGTATAGAAACAATTTTCAATATGATGTTTCACAATTAATAAAGTAACATGAAAACAAAGTACAAGCACTGAAATATTTTGTAAAATATACTCTAAAATATTTTTATTTACAACACCAAAATGCGTCATCTGCTGGTGAATCAGTGCTCGTGCTTGTTTAAATGACAGTCAAATCTCTGGAAATCACAGTTTTACCCGTAAATAAGTCACATCAACATTTACCCATGTTCAGCTGACAAATCCGATTACGTAAATGAAAGAATAGGATGAATAAAATGAGAGAAGTGTAATGTAGTCTTCAGTGTTGGGGAAAGTTACTTTTAAAAGTAATGCATTACAATATTGCGTTACTCCATAAAAAGTAACTAATTACGGTACTTAGTTACTTTTTATGGAAAGTAATGCGTTACGTTACTTTTGCGTTACTTTTTAAATCTGGACAGGGCTTGCTTGTTTGTTTTTAAAATAAAAAAAGTTCTATTTTTGGCAAATATATAAGCCTTTTCACACCAAAAGTGAAATGAATAAACCTCAGGCTGAAGGGAAAGTACATTTACATCCGTACAGTAGAATACAGAAGAAGACATTTCAACACACAAAAAAAGACACAAATGTTTGTCTAGAGTAATTTGTGCTTATTAGTACGGTTGAACTGGATCACCGAAGGTCAGAAGCAAAGACATTGCTTAATAGAATGGGATTAAATACATAAAGCATATTTGTGTTGTTTAACATTTAATTATTGCAGGTTTGCGTCATATTCTGAATTGGATTATTTTTATTCATTTTGAGGAATACTGAATCTGTGTGAGTGAGTGAGTGAGATGAATTAATGCATATTCATATTTATTTTAGAACTACAGTAACATTTCATTGTTTACCTGGGTCTTCAGTCTATGATTAGCTCACCTCAGCTCTCATCTGACAAGTCGGGTTTGGGTTTATGGGGCTGTCACGTGATGAACGAAGGACTCGGAAAAACCCGAAGACTCGAACCAGGTGAACTACTTGACTAATTCCAGAACAGAACCTATAGGATGTTGCGCATGCGCGACTGAACGAATCACTCCCCGAGATGACTCGTTCTTCTCGAGTCACATTAAAGATTCGTTCAAAATGAACGAATCGTTCAAGAACGACCCAACCCCTCACTCGAGTAATTGTCAGTGAAAATCCCTGAAGTAAACACCCAAGAGACCCAACAGGGAATAAAAGTTTTATAACACGCAGAAAATGTCGTTCATCCCCGGCCAGCCTGTCTCAACGGTTGTGGTAAGTTTGCGTTCAGTGTGAGAAAGCTTCACTAGCATTAGTGCTTTCTGCCTTGTGTGCGGTTCTGTAGTGTTTTTACAACGACAGTGATTCATTTTATATCGTTTGACTCGGAAAGCGGTTAATTAAAAATTGTTTTTTTTATTCTCGACAATAATTGGCGACAGGACAGGACAGTTTGGATACGTTTATTTGAGTTTAAGCTAACAGCTGATGTAATGGAAAGGGTTAGCATGCTAAGCTAACGTTAGCCAGCAGGGGCGAACAAAGTGAACAATAGTTCATCATGTCTTTATTATTCAATTTATTTGTGTATTTATTTAGATTGTGTGAAATGATTATGGGGCACAATATAACGAAACCGAACGTTTTACTTCGTTTGACTTCGGTTTACTTGCTCTTAAACTAGAGCAAAACCAGAGTGTTCATTTGGCTTCCCTAAAATGAAACGCTATTTATACAATGCTTATTAGTCATTTTTGGGATACAGTTAATATTAAATAAGTTTAATTGTTCTTTTGTATTATTTTATTTGTATCTGTTCTGATGTCACTCAGGTGTGAAGTAAGTGGGCGTGGTTTATGTTCTTGTTCAGGTAATGCTGCCATATATGGTGATAAACAGCTGTGCCATAGGATGTCTTAAATCCTAGTTAGCCGCCTACCTAGATAGCACCTAGCGTGCATTATTCTAAAAAATGCTGACTATGTATATAGATAGCTAAGTTTTTAGACGTATACTTATTATGCCTGCCTTGTAAGTCAGCTGTCTTGTGTTTTCCTCTCTGTATTTCAGCAACGGATTGAGATTCACAAACTACAGGATGGTGATAATGTAATATTAGGATTCAGCATTGGAGGGGGAATCGACCAAGATCCAAGCCAGAATCCGTTTTCCGAAGACAAGACAGACAAGGTGAAAAATCATGTTTCGTGAATTGAATTCTATTTAGAGTGAGGCATTTTTCCTCCTCTGTCATTCAGAAGTGACTCTTCTAACCTCATTAACGTCACAGGGAATCTATGTCACACGCGTATCTAAAGGTGGACCTGCAGAGGTGGCTGGTCTCAGGATGGGAGACAGAATCATGCAGGTGAGCGATCCGAACCGGTCAACCATATTATAAGACATTCTCACAGTGATGAAGAGTTTTGTTCAGGTCACAAAACTAAACTATTCCTGATTTTACTAAATTAATCTCCACTAGAGGTCACTGTGGCATCATCAGAATGAGCTTTATACATCATCATTATTATTATTATTATATATTTTTTTCATTTTGTGACACTTAAAGCAGTGGTTCACCAAAAAAAGGAAAATTCTGTCAATTACTTATTTTACTTTTACCTGTTGTTTTAAAGGGGTGGTTGACTGGGTTTTTTCTAGGCTTTATTGTGTTTATGGGGTGCAGTCTAACATGTGTTCATGCTTCGCTTTTTAAAAAACGCATTATTTTTCACATAATTTACCTTTATTCCATGCCGATCTGTCCCTTCTGTAACAAACGGTCAGCTGGCTCAGTGTGTTGTGATTCGCTAAACTGCCTCTACAGCGCGTCTGAACATCCCGCCACTCAAGCTCAGAATGTGCTTCGTAGGGATGGGCGATATCGTCAATATCGATACAGATACTTCTAAACTAAACTGATCTTTGAAACTATTAAAAGAATATATAATCAGTAATTATACTCACTTAATATTAGATTTTAAAGCCATGTTTTTTAAACATTTCATAGGCCTTTTTTTGTTTACACGTTTAGAAATAAAATATACTATAATTATATATTTTAGCCCTTTACTGGGGCAGTAACCTCAAAAGTGAGCATATTAGTACCAAACAAGTATACATATTTTAAAGGGTAGATAAGTTACAAAGGTGCACCTTTGAGGGTACCTCATGAAAAATAAACATGGTGTTACATAAGTACTAAAATGTATTATTATTATTATTATCATGGTAAATTTGTGGTTACTGCAGTTTTACTAAAACTACTGTGGTTACTGTAATAAAACTATGGTTTAGCACTTTTAGAAATAAAATATACTATAATTATATATTTTAGCCCTTTACTGGGGCAGTAACCTCAAAAGTGAGCATATTAGTACCATACAAGTATACATATTTTAAGGGTAGATAAGTTACAAAGGTGCACCTTTGAGGGTACCTCATGAAAAATAAACATGGTGTTACATAAGTACTAAAATGTATTATTATTATTATTATTATCATGGTAAATTTGTGGTTACTGCAATTTTACTACAACTACTGTGGTAAACTGTGGTTACTGTAATAAAACTATGGTTAAGTTTTGTAAAAGGCTGCCAGGCTGTTGTACCCCTAAAGGTGAAACTTTAGCATTTTTTTTTCTGACAGATTTTTTAACGGCAATTACAGAACATAACACAATCCATTTGAACTTTTAACAACCAGTTTAATTAAGTTTACTTGCACAAACTAGCCAATTTAAAAGAAATATTACATGTACACAAAAGTTTGGGGTCAGTAAGATTTTGTAATATTTTAAGTCTCATGCTCACCAAGGCTGCAATTATTTGGGGAAAAAAACAGTAAAAGCAGCAATATTGAGAAATATAACAATTAAAAATAACTTTTTTAATATTTTTAAAATGTATCTGTATTCAAAGCTGAATTTTCAGCATCATTACTCCAGTCTTCAGTGTCAAATGATCTTCAGAAATCATTCTAATATTTGGTGCTCAAGAAACATTTATTATTATTGCTCCTTCATATTTGTGTGGAAACCGTGATGCATTTTTCAGAATTCATTTTATATATAGTAACAATGTAATGTAATGTAATAATGTGGCAATGGTTTCTTAAGATCTACGTACGCTTCTGATGCTTTTGGGAAACGCAACCCTATTTGAACAAGCACTGTGAGCCATGCGTCAGCAGCGAACGCTGTCTGTGATTGAATGGTTCTGTCTTTCAGCATTTGCGTGTGTTCCGATGAGCAGGAGAAATGGTTCTATCCAACACAATTATTCGCTAATATAAGCTGTGTCTCATTTGGAAGGCTACACCCTCCAGAGGTCGCATTCGAAGGCTGCATACGTCATTGAGGCTTTTGTCTCATTTCAGAAAAGCAAGTAGGACACTCCGAATGCAACCTTCTTTCACAGGAATTCGGAGGATGCATGAGGTGTATCCTTCACTGCTACAGATAACCCACAATTCTTTGCGTCGCCGTAAACAACCGTTGTTCATTTGAAAAATGCCATCGCCGGCAGATGCGCACACAAGCGCAAATGTGGTGTTTACAACTTACCTTAAATCGCCTCCGTAAAAACAGATAAACTTTGTTTTTAATATCCTCCTCCTATTTTTCTTCTCTAACAGATATCTGCTGTGCATACGATGCAGCTCCTCAAACATTGAACAAAATAAAACAAGTAAAAGCATTTTTTTTTTCAAATTACTTTCCAAAATTAGAAATAATTTTCCTTCATTTAAGTAGTGTGAGAGCGCAACAGTGCTCTAAATGTGTTGGCATAGCAACGTGATACTTCCTGTTTCCTTTTCCACCTGTCCTACGAAGGCCGTCTCATTTAATTCTAGGTTGAGGACACTTCGTATATGCATCCTACAGAGGATGCGACCTCCAGAGGATTCGACCTCCAGAGGGCGCAGCCTTCTAAATGAGACACAGCTATTGTCTATTTTTCCACTTAGAAGCTTATTTTATGCACCGAATTTCTTGATAAGTAAATAAAATTCATGTTTAAAAAAATGCACTTTAGAATATATATTTTTATGTGAGGATCGATCATAAAATCCGCCCATCCCTAGTGCTTCGGTTGTATTGTAAACAATGACGTCCTCTATATTGCTTATCAATTTGAGCCCGATTGAGACGCAGAGAATATTAATGAAGAGGATCGCGCAGAACCTGTGCAAGCACTGCTCTTAATGGTATGTTTGTTTGTTGTTGTCCCATACTTTTAGATACGCTGTTGTTTGTAAATTCTACTGCTTCTGTTAGCTTTTAATGTATGGTTTTATTCTGATTAAAGCTTTAATACAGCACAGCAATCGTTCGCACGTCCATGTATAACGCTTCTCATAGCTATGTGAAAATAAGTGTATAAATGGAACAGTTTGTTGGAGCTGAGCTGATGATCTGAATATGAGAGAGAGAGAGATATGCAGAGCAGGGCTTTTGAACATTGATTTTGAAACTTGTGAATCCATTAGAATCGTTAGAAGACAGAATCGCGATTTTTACGTGCACCTCTAGTTTTCTCTTCCTCTTCTGTAAAGCAGCACAACATGGCCTCGCCCCCTTTGCTGCGTGTTCCCGGGGGCGGGGTTTATCTGGGTTTGTGACGTAACGGACCTGGGAAGAAGCTCGTTGTAGTCCCTACCAGCCGTTTTTGTAGGCATTAAACTGCCAGAATTTTAAAGGGGTCATATGATGCTGCTAAAAAGAACATTATTTCTGCTGTAAAGCAGCACAACATGGCCTCGCCCCCTTTGCTGCGTGTTCCCGGGGGCGGGGTTTATCTGGGTTTGTGACGTAACGGACCTGGGAAGAAGCTCGTTGTAGTCCCTACCAGCCGTTTTTGTAGGCATTAAACTGCCAGAATTTTAAAGGGGTCATATGATGCTGCTAAAAAGAACATTATTTTGTGTATTTGGTG